AGCCAACACAATAACCCCCTCCACAGAGGTGTCAGTGCAGGCAAGCCTGAATAAAGGATGGAGGCCACAGAAGAGTGGCAATCACACTGGCACCACAGAAGGGCAACTGGACAGTGACAAGGATCTGGGCCATGGAGAGAATTATGCCTCTTAGCCCAGAACCAGCCACTGAAAGATGACACACAGGTCAGGTCGTTCCCAAGGGTCATATAGTGAAGGGGTTTGCAGATGGCCACTTAGTGGACATAGGCCATTAAAATCAGCAGGAAGATCTCAGCAACTCCAAAAAAGTGGAAGAAAGTCTAACCCAAAGAGCCCTCCAAGGAGAGAGTTTTAATCTTGGCATCTTGTCTGTGATGAAGTTAGGGACAACAGTAGAGGAATAACTAATCTCCAACGAAGACAGGCAGCTAAGGAAGAGGTGCGCAGGGGAACACAGACCCTAACTCATGTTGACTGTCACAACGAGGCCATTTCCAACAACTGTGGCCAGGCACTTGGGAAGAAACACCACAAAGCACCTCTGGATCCTGGAAAAGACCTGTGATAATTCAGTCACACTACTTGTGCCCAGCATAAAAGCCATTCAGGTGTGCTGGACCTCAGCTACTGAGAGACCTGCAGTAAACAAACACTGACGTAACACCAATTCAACACATTTCTAGCAGACTGGACAGTGTAAACCACTTCACAATACATTTACCATTATATAATTTAGCCAATATATATACTCATTCACTGTTAAATACTAGCAACCTCACAACAGTTTGTATAATATACAATCAAGGCCCAGAGAAATGGTCAGTGTCCCAGGATCACATAGAAAGGAGTGAATTCTGGGTCTCAGAACCAGGCTTTCTGACTTCGGGCAGTATTCTTTCTACATGACAACATATCGAGTTTGAAGAGCCATTGAAGTTCATAGGCCATATTTTTATTATCAATGCACTTGATAGTTCTCTCTTATTCAGGAATCCTCTTGAGACACTTCAGCTGCTAAATTCTTTGTATCCTTCATTTCTGCATCAGGGAATCACCTTCCTGCTGGTCATTCTTCCCTTTCAAAAGGTTCTCTGTACTGTTTTCTTCCCTCCATAATACCAGTCTTCAATCCACTCAGACCAGATTCTCTCGCAAGTCTTGCAGCTTCCATAATGCGTTTATGTGGCAAATGTCCAAATACTCTGGAGCGAATTTAACTTCATAGCTTGTTTCCATAATTTCACTATAACTTTCACACATCTTGTCCCACTGCTCAAACTGCTGAGAGATCCTGAATTCAAACAGTAGCCCAGCAAGAGCACTATCACAGCTGGCCCAGGGAAATGGTAAGAAATACCTCCTCTCCCAGAGATCACAGGAAGAAGCATGGAAAAGGCTAAGGCAGCATTTGAGTGTGTGGACTCTACATCAGCTAACCTGCTGACTCTGCACCAGAGAATAATGACAGAACGCAGACAGTGGCCAGAGAAAGTATAAGAGAGAGCTTTGTTTGCCAATGTGACTGATCGCAGAATGAAGTAATGGAACCTCCATTGCAATTACAGGCTCCCACTTGGTCATTTCCAATGGTACTTCACAGAACAACAAAATTGTAAAGGACTTCAAAATCACAAATTGTATGTTACATACACTTTGCAATTTCTTTAATGAATAAATGTATTTCATTGCCCCATCCTCCTTTCCAAAAAACAATCCCCAAACCCAGCTACCTTGTTTACAAATGAATGGTAAGGCCCAAAGAGAGCAACTGACTTGCCCAACATCCTAAGTCTGCATAGAAACTTTGCATGCTACTTCCAGTCACATGATCTATCATTAGACCAGAAAATCTGGTGTGGCTTCATTCTGCCTTAGAACAAAGAATTAGATCAGAAGGCCCTCACATGCACTCTAGTGCCTCCCATGAAGCATGAAGTTAGCCACTCCACTGGAATAGACCATTACTCAAGAAGATGTGCCACATAGGAAAAGCAGCATGGGATGGAGTGTTGGGAACTGCCCTGCCTGGTTTCAGAACCCCCCATGGCAAAGGCTGAGTGAGTGACCTTTGGACCATAAGCCACTTATCTCCCTGGCAGGATCACCGCTTCTGCTCCTTTTTTCATAACTGGCCCCCAATGCTTGATCAGCTAGCCAATGATGGGTAAGATTCCCCAAGTGGGGAATGACCTAAGACTGGCATAATCACATGGAGGATCCAGGGAAGGACTAGGGAGGCTATGGAGCAAGGGGTAGATTGACCCTCGCCCCTCAGCTTTGACAAAGCCTGAGTCTTCACTTCTCCTAATTCATTGGCTATCTTGCCTCCTCTGCCTGACTTAAGCCTGAAACAACAACAAAGGGTTGTGCAGCCCTGTGCTGGAAAGGGTGGGCTCCCTGGGTGATCAAGCCTAAGAAAGGATATGTAAAATCCTGGGAAGGCTGCTTTGCTAAGAATGCTCTTAGTTAACTGATAAAGGCCCAAGCAGGAAATGTGTTTGTTTCCCAAAGTTTTGTAGCCTTTTAGCTGATTGACCCTGACTCAGAAGAAGCCCTAATAGTTCTTCGTACTCGATCTACTGTTTGATCCTTACTGCCTGACAACGATTAATGAGCTGTACCTGTATTCCTGCACAAATTAAACCAAATAAAAGCCTGTCTAGGCAAGGGTCAGCTCGCTCTCCCCTTGAGAGGGTGGCCAAGCCTCTCTGAGGCACTCCCCCCTTGAGGGAGTAGCCATCCCTTTTCCTCTACAGGACTTAGCAGTCCATGTGAATTTGTCTCATGTCTCATCCATGACACCGCAGGCACTGCGAGCCAGTGCCTGAGGTAATAGAGCACAGGGTTCTTCTCTAGGAATTCTGGTCCCTAGACAAGCAAGGTGCCTTGGCTAATGTTATCCACCTGGCTGATTTTCCATCCGTGGCCCCAAAGAGAGACATCTAAGTCCCACTTATCTAAGCCACTCTGATAGAGGAGCTGAAAAAGTTTCAAGACCTTTAACTCTAACCTTCTCTGTTACACATGAGGTTGGAAAAGGTTGAACAGTTAACTGGAAGAACATCATCACTTTAGTTTAAAATGCTGTGTGAAGGCTGTAGTAGGAAGAGCACTAAACTAGCAATTGTCATCCTTGTATGTGATTTTATGCAAGTAATTTAGCCTGTCTCTACTCATGTTTATCTTCAAACCTGAATAACCCACAGTCTTACAAGAACTTCTGAAAGATTATTTATTCAATACAAATTAATTAAGCTGGTGTACAAAAACTACTGAGAATATTTTTTCAAGATGTCAATGGCCATTTTATTGCTATTATTCCCATAGTCAAGATCAACATTTGCATTTGTGATTGTTAGGCATCAGATAAAACAAGAAGTTTTTTCAACACTATCATCCTCACTCAACCCTAAGCACACTTACCCTAATAATTATGCTTATTTCATGGGGTGATCAGTAAACATGAGAAGTGAACAATCAAGCCAGTAGTTACAAGAGTTTTAGGAGAAAGGGCAGGGTCCGAATTGGCAACAGGAAAAGGCAAGAGAATAGAAGACATTATGAGGACACCGAGGTAACAGCCACCTCCAAAAACACTGATACAGAACTATACAAAGTTCTGTGAGTCCTTCTGCAACCTTCTGAAGCTGGTATTGTTACTGTCTATTGGGACCAAATCAGATGAAATGGCCCATGAATGAATTATTAGGAAGGGCATCTCATCCTGCTCTTCTAAATTCATCTTACACAAAGGGGCTCCCTCTAGATAAAAAGAGTAAAGCAAAGAGGACGAATGGGGTGGCAGGCCCTGCTCAGCAGCAGAAGGGATCAGTACTGCCTGGTGCAGTGTCAAAGCTTGTTCTCCGTGGCTCCACTCTTCATCATCCTGAGCCACCACCAATCCTTGACCTTCAAGAAGTCCTCATCTGTACTACTCGGAGTCCATTCATTCAATCCTTGTCAACAAGTCTTGAAGGGGAAGAGCCCTGAAGGCAAATTTAGGGAACCTGAATTCCAGTCCCTATCCTGTTCTGGACTTATTGTATGACTTTAAGTAAATCCTTTAACCTCTCCACCTTTATTAATTCATCTGCCTACTGAGAGAGCAGGAAGTGAAGGAATGAAGGTTAAGTGCTTTGAATATCATAAAAGAGACAGTTAATTTCATCAAGCACTGTGGTAACCACCATAAAGCAGCTAGCTAGTGCCTGTCTCCATTGTATGGGTAAGCTACTTGAGTACTCCATCATTCATAGGCTCTCACATGTTTCCTGAAAGAGCCCTTAATTATCATACTATAAGCCTCCTGCACTGTGACCCCCTTGAGGGTAAATTACATCTTATTTTTATTTGTCTCCCACTACCTCGTTTATTGCAAATGGTCAATAAATATTTAATGAATGAAGGATTGAAGAAACCTATGGGAGTACTATTATGAAAAGAGCTAGGAGGCAGACAAAAACTCATAGACACAGGCAACAGTATGGCAGTTACCAGAGAGAAGGGGGTGGGAGTAGCAAAGTTTTACAGAGGAGGTCAAATACACAGTGATAGAAAAAGATTTGACTTTGGATGGTGGGCACACAATGCAATATACCGATGAAGTATCATAGAAATGTACACTTAAAACCTATATCAACGGCCCTGGCTGGCATAGCTCAGTGGATTGAGTGCAGGCTGCAAACCAAAGGGTCACAGGTTCAATTCCCAGTCAGGGCACATGCCCGGGTTGCAGCCAGGTCCCCAGTGGGGGCCACATGGGAGGCAACCACACACTGATGTTTCCCCCTCTCTCTCTTTCTCCCTCCTTTCCCCTCTCTAAAAATAAATAATAATCTTTTCTTAAAAACCCTATATCAACGTATTAACCAATGTCACCCCAATAAATTTAATTTGTAAAACAGAGCTAAGAAGAGAGCCATCATTACAACCATCAAACTGCAGATGCAAAGCCTATGTTAGATGCTACGGAATGGGAAGTCTCCCATGCTCCAGGCTGAGTGAGATTCCCTGGGGTATCACTTCTCTCCCAAATTCCCTTTGACCCTGAACAGTTTCCTCATGGCATTTTTTTACATCATTGTTCCTCAGGGTGTAGATCAGAGAGTTCAGCAAAGGTGGCATGACAATGTTAAAGAGGATGACAAGTTTATCAACAGCCAGGGTGGTAAAGGGATAAATGTACATGAACATGGGAGGCACAAGGACCAAAAAGACAGTAGTGATGTGTGATCCACATGTGGACAGAGCTTTGCGGTGGCCCTCAGATGACCAGCTTCTAATGTTCAGTAAGATGACCACATAGGACACAATGAGGATAATGAAGGACACTAAAGAGATCATGCCATCATTGGCCACCACGATGAGCCCCACAACAAAGGTGTCTTCAGCTTCAGCAGGGGATGAACATCACAGAAAAAGTTGTCAATCTCATTGGGCCCACAAAAGGACAGCTGCACTGTGAGGAGGGTCTGCAGGATGAAATGAAGGAAGCCAGCCACCCCCAAGGCTCCTGCCATTAGGCCACACTTCTGTTGATCCATGATGGCTGTATAGTGCAGGGACCTAAAGATAGCCACATAGCAGTCATAGGCCATGGCTATGAGGAGGAAGATCTCAGTGCCACCAAAGAAGTGGGAAGAAAATAGCTGAGTCATTCAGCCATTGAAGGAGATGGTCTTGTGCTCCACAAAAGTGTCAGCAATCACCATGGGTGTGGTAGCAGGTGGATAGCACATGTCAGCGAAAAACAAATACCTGAGGAAGAAGTACATAGGAGCACACAGGGTCTGACACTGATGGTGATGATGACCATGAGATTGCCCAGGAGAGTGAACATGTGAAAGAAGGAGAAGACCACAAAGCACACATGCTGTAAGTCTCTGCTCTGGAAAAGGCTGAACAACACAAATTCAGTCACGTTGTTCTTGGTACCCATGGATTCTCTGCCCTGAGCACCAACAAAGTGGTTAGCTCTGCAAGCACAAAAAATTATGTGATATAAGAAAATATCCCAAAACCAGGAATTCAGAAAACTGTACTCAGGTCTAATAATGATTCTAATACCCAATTTCAATTGGGGAGAAGGGTTCCCCTGTACCTACAAGCAATTCTCAGATACAAGCTGCGAGTCCTAAATTCAATTTACTTTCTGACACTACCACCACACACACTTTAGAGAACCCTGCCAATGGTGTTCTAGAAAAGCCATGGGGTTCGATTGCCCACCACCAGGAAGCATAACTCCCAAGGCAAGAGTTTGGTGAAAAAAGTAAAGGGGTTATTTATTTAAAAAGCTATACATCATAAACAAAGCAACAAACAACAAGTGTTGGAGAGGTTGTGGAGAAAAGGAAACCCTAGTGCACTATTTGTGGATTGCAGAATGGTACAACCACTATGGAAAATAATATGGAATTTTCTCAGAAAACTAAAAATGGATCTGCCTTTTGACTCAGCACTTCCACTGCTAGAATTATATTCTAAGAACTCTGAAACACCAATCCAAAAGAACCTATGCACCCCAATGTCATAGCAGCACAATTTACAATAGCCAAGAGTTGGAAGCAACCTAGATGCCCATCAGTAAATGCATGGGTAAAAAAATGTAGGTTACATTTACACAATGGAATTCTATGCAGCAGAAAGAAAGAAGGAGCTCCTACCCTTTGCAACAGCATGGATGGAACTGGAAAGCACTATGCTGAGTGAAATAAGCCAGGCGGTGAAAGACAAATACCATATGATCTCACCTTTAAAAGGAACCTAATCAGCAAAACAAACAAGCAAGCAAAATATTACCAAAGACACTGAAATAGAGAACAGGCTGACAGGGACCAGAGGGGAGAAGGGAGGGAATTTCAGGGGAAAAGGGGAAAGGTTTGCAGGAACAAGTATAAGGAACACATGAACAAAAACTAAGGGTGGTGGAAATGGGAGGGAGGTGGGAAGGGTTGGGGGGGTTGGCTGGGATGGGGGTAAAAGGCAGAAAACTGTACTTGAACAACAATTAAAATAAAAATTTTTAAAAGCTATACAGGTTTAGAATAATAGCAGAAGTCTGCTGTTAAGTCCCACTCCCTTTAAAAACATCCAAAAACACATAGTCCTGCCTCCCTTTGCCACACCAGACCAGTTTCAGAATATGCCACTCAAAGGTACCATCTTTCAGAAAAGCAGAAGTCTGCAGCTTAGCATTTCCAGTCACAGTTCAGCTTCAAGCATTTCTCACAAGTGTGGGTGGCTGGGCAGGTCCCACAACACCATCAGCTCTGCCACCATCCTCTCCAGGCAGACTTCCAGGCACCTCTCCCAACCTCGTGGCTGTTTCTCTGACCTTAGGCTGCCCTAATTTACATGCTTTGCTTTAAACTTCCTGTGTAATCTCTTATCTGGCCCTTCCTATGGTGCATTAGTGTTCACCATTTTTGTCAGTTTCCCAGTGTCTTTCACCCCCTTTCAGCTGCCATCTTTAGTCAGGGCAAAACTTCCCAGTGACACACAGGCACCTGGGGTGGGTATCCACTTCCCTGGCTATACCACAAGTCACTTCACATTCTCACAGTCAGTGCACAATTCTGCAGCTTCCAAAAATCTTCCCTTCAGGAAAGCATGGCTATTAACTTTCTTTTGCTGCACAGTGTGTCTTAAACACAGTACTATCCACCCTCCCTGCATCCAATCCTGTGGCAGGATTGTGGGGGTGTTGCTCTATTATCAGGAAACCCATGCTCTGACCCCATTACACACACACATTTCAAATGTCAGTTGCAAGCCCAGGTTATCACCTGTGTAGTTCTGACCCAATTGCTACAGATTGGAAGCTCCAGTGGCTCCCTCCATGGGCTCCATTAATTTGCTAATCCCTTTTCCCTGTTGCAATAGTCTGCTCCTACCTCCTTCCCTTATGATGTTTGTTTGCTACACCCTCCTACTATCTGTAGACTCCCATTACTGAAAAACTTCCCAGAGATTAACATTGGACTTGAAAATGCCCAAACACACAGCATGTCACCACAAAAGCATTGGTCTGGAAACCAAAGATTTGCATTTTAGCCCCAACTTGGTCACTGGTAACTAAGTGACTCCAAACAACACCCTCTCTCTGTGCGGTGCTCTATTTCCCCATCTCCACAAAATGACAGCTGGACTAAGTGCTGGATTCTAGGCTGGAAAAGTGGAAATACAAAAGTTAATTTCAGTGATAATAATAATCAATATTTGAAGAACTTTTAAGTAACAAGAAAGCAGGTGAGTAGTTTTACATCATTACTAATCCCCCTCTCCCACTTTGCCTGGGGACTGGGGGCACTGAGGTTTATATTACCTTTATCTTTTCTTGCCCTGAATGTGTTCTCTCGCCAGTCTTCAGATATATTCTCTGTCTTGAGAGTGAAAGGAAATTTGCAATGCAACTTGGGAACATTTCTACCTTAAAAGATTAAAATGTAAATAAGTCTTTCAAGAGTCTTTCAAGCTGCCTATATCAGGGGATTCATGTATATGCAATAATGCCTTGCCAGGGGGACCTGGGCTGTAGGGAAAGGGTACCATGGCCATACCTTACTGACATACACTCTGGAACTGCTAATTTCCAAAAAGTTAATGTGCTGTCAATGCCCACACAAGGATGGTCCAGGGGAAAAGCTGGGGAACTCTGCAGCCCCCAGCCATGATCTGGGCATTCATATATAAGCCTCTAAATGATAAAGTGTGTAGAAACTCTCTCTGAGCTTGAACAGCATCACAAGTAGAAGGAAGAGTAACCACAGTACAACATTTGCTCCCCTTCATTAAGCAATGCCATATGCCAGGCCCTGCAGAGAGCACTTTAAATGCATCATCTCACTTCACCCACCAAACAGCACTCTGAAGGTGCTCACATGACTATTCCTATTTTTCAGTTGGAAAAAAAATGAGGATTAGAACAAAATGAATGACGTGGCCAAGTTCTCACACCAGTAAGGGTTAGAACAAGAAACACCACCCAGTGTACTTATCTTCCAAGCGGCCTTCTTAGTCACTAAACGACACTCCTGACTAGGGAAGTGTGAGTATCTGATCACCCAGGAGGACATGGTCTCAGCAGCTAAACTGTGAGCAAGACAATGACTGAAGGAGGATTGTAGTGATGCCATGGGAACCTGAAAAAAAATTACATATACAGACTGGGCAAAAGGAGGTTTACAGTTGTTTGTATGAAAAATAATGCAATAATTAATAAATAATAATATAAGAATGAATTCTGTTTCACATACTCACAACTGTAACCCTATGTTATCAACTCACACTTGAGGCCTTTGAAGGCAGGAACCTGAGAATACTCAGATACCGTCCAGCAGGACTTTCATCTGGCCACCGAGCACAGAACGGAGAAAGCAAGCAAGGACATCTGTTTTCCATAAGGTCCCCGATTACTACAGGCTTATTCTCCAGGCTCCCCAGCTGAGCAGCGGAACTCAGGGAGACTGTCCAGGGAACAGAAGGATCGCAGTCAACTTTTAAGCACAGAGGGTTCGGGGGAGCTCATGTGGATTTGCCCCAGCCAAAGTCATTGCCAAACGTGAAAACCATAGCACGTTGGAAGCCATAACACATTCATAGTTCACAAAAGATCCATCAGTGTGGCTAATTAGACCCCAGAGGCATCACATCCCAATTAAAGGAATGGGCCATCGAGACAGCCATACCCTCTTGTCGCATTAATTTAGTGCTTCAGATAAACTTTAGAGGACAAAGAAGCTGCTATGTTTATCCCGGCTTTGGATTTCTATACTGAATCATCCCAAACTCATTCAGTCAACAATAGTTACTAAGCAGCTACTATATACAAGGCATAGTTTTATGCCATCTATTTTGGGGAAATAAGCTGGTGTCAAATATGTTACTTTTTTAAGTAGCAGAGACAAGTTTGAACTAAACTAGCACTTCAACTACCACCCTATGTTAACACAGTACTTCAAAAAGTGTTTCCACCTGTGAGGACAGAACGCAAAAGGGCAGCAGGTATAGCACAGAGCTCAAAAACACAGGTGAAGAAGTCATGCTGGCTTGGATAGAGCCTAACTTTGCCACCTGGAGGATACACCACTATTACCAAATGGCTTAACACCTTGGGATACCATTTTCTCATCTGCAATTTTTTTCTTTCTCAGGTTTAAAGAAATCAGTGTGAAATTCCACAATAATGGTTGGAAATGTTACCTCCACCACCACCCCCAGCAAGTGAGGGTGTGATCAGGTTTTAAAAATCAGTAAAAACAGATCTGAACAACATGTGAATCCCCTTAACCTAATGAATATTTATAAAGTACGGCACTGTAAAACTGAAGAACATTCCTTCAAGTGTACATGCTACATTCACCAAGATAGACCTTATGTTTCGATAAATGTGAAAAGAATGACATCATCCATAATGGAATTAAATTAGATTATCAATAATAATAGGCAAAACCCAAAATATTTGAAAAATAAACAACACACTTGTAAATAAGGCATTGGTCAAAGAGAAAAAATCATTTTTACACATCAGAGCACATTTTAACTAAATAATAATAAAAATACATGTGAGATTTTATGTGATGCTGTGTAAGCATTGCTTAAAGAAAGTACAGTTTTAAATTCTCATACTGGAAATCAAGAAAGTTCTAAAAGCTAGAAACTAAGTTTTCACCTTACGAGATTAAAAAAAAGAGCAAATTTAAGTAGAAAGAAGGACACAAGAAAAATAACAGAAATTAATCAATCCCATGGAAAACAAAAACAGAAAAACTGGGACTAAAGCCAGACTTTTATGAGACAACCTTAAATTTTAATATCAATGTCAGTTGTGGATCTAAAATTATCAAATTCTACAACTTAGGTGAAAAATGTAAAGTCCTAGAAAAAAATACAACTTACATAACTGACCCAAAATGAAGCAGAAAATCTGAACAGCCC